ACCATTGAGGAAGTTATATTCTCTTTTTTTCATAGGATAATTGAGAGTTAAAGTATTTTTACACTGAAAGTAATAAAAGGCACATGTGTCAAACATGATGCACATTAAAATGAGATGTCATCAGTTATTACTGATGTACAAAAGAGCTGAATTATCATACATAAATACTTTCACTTCCTCTAAGTAACCTCCAACACTTTAGTTTGCACAATAAAGTAATCCTGCACGCTTAACAATAAAGGTGCCTTATTGGTATTAATGGTTCACTGAAAAACTTGAACAATCATTGAAGCTTTCCACGGCATAAAAGGTTCTTTATAGTGAACAGATATAGTTTTTACACTAATAAAAGTGGTTCGTTTAAAGAGCTGTTCACTGAAAGTTTTTTTTTTTTTTTGTGTGTGGAGCTTCTATGGCATCTCTGTGAAAATCTCCTTTTGAAGCCTTTATTCCTAAGAGTGTGGGTGACAAATATGCTTCTGAACAGTATTCCTACAATTGCATGTGTGCCCAAATATTGTGTTTGTTTTGGGGTGATGCTGCATCCACACCAGTAAGTGTCAGTATAAAGTCCAGGAAAACATGTTAAAAATGACACGGTGCACCTGTAATAAGGCAGGTGCGAGTCCAGAAGATCTGACACTGGTACTCACAGAGCATGGGGAGTGTGATACCGAAGAGAAACACCATCACTCCTCCACACAAGGACAGCAGGAGGTAACTGATTCCCAGGACACCCACGACAAACAGGGTGGGATTTCTCTTCTTGAAGTTCTTGATCACAGCTTTATTCTCTCCTGCCCACACCGAGCTCATGAAGACCAGAGCCACGACCGCCCCACCAACAAACATGCCCAGCGGGTTCAGAAAACTGCAAAAACCACACCAGACATTTATGTGACATCACTATGAGTATTATTATAACATCGCGGTGAGAAAACAAAGCAGTGCTGCATCAAACAGGTGATAAAACTGGGCTCCTAATGTCAGTGTGAACAACGGGAAGTATTCAGTTAAGGGTCTTTCACACCAAGGAAGATAACGATACTGTAGTTATCGGTATAGCAATCTTAAGTTATCGGTATAGATATCTTACAGTTATCGGTATAGTCATATTAAGTTATTGGTAAAGTCTAACTTCTCAGCATATGCCTATAATAAATAGAAAGTTATTGTCTGTTGGTGTGGACGTAATATAGTTGTCATTGTAATTGTCGTTCTTGGTGTGAACAGGTCTTTTCAACCATTATTTTAACATATAGTAATAAAGATAGCTTTTAAAATAAAGAATTGTAAAACGATGCACAGAAATAAAATAAAATAAAGATTTTTTTTTAATTCACGCTTTTATTCTTTTTTTTTAGCTCAGACCCCAAATAAAACAGTAAGATAGATGCAGGCCAGATGACTAATAATATATACACTATATAAATATAATAACATTTGATTTTTCCAATATAGTAAATCCTATGAATGAATGAATAAAATGAATGAATGTCTAAAGCCAAGTTTACACTATAAAGGTGCAACAGAAATGCTTATGAAATATAGACATATTTGTATATATATGTTTGATTTTTGAATTGTAATGTTTGTTTTTACAGAGTTTTTTTTCGTGTTGATTATTATATATACAATATTATATTTAACAATAAGTAGCAACTGAATTGACTCTGTAGGCCTATTAACCTGTTGTATGTGATATATATATATATATATATACACATACATGGCGACATTGGGGGGGGGGCAATTGTAAAAGTATTAGCAGCAAAACAACAAAGCTACTGCTTTTCACGGAACATACGTAATTACCCATTATACATTGTGATATAGCCTGGTTCATTGATCCGTTAGATCGGATTGCTTTCTCACTACAATCAAAACGCTCCAGAGTTTGTTTTCAATCGAGCCGAGACCACCTCGTTCAGGCGACCTCGGACCGATTGTTTTGGTGCGGATCCATTCGCGATTGCAGTGTTCACATATGCCCAAACGAACCGTGCTAAGGGGGGAAACGCACCAGGTTCCGAAACAACGGGCCAGGTGTGAAAGCACCCATTGTGCAGTTTAGAGAGCTTAATTGATTATAACTAGAGCCCGACCGATATATCGTTTTGCCGATATTATCGGCCGATATGAGCCTGTCGCCGATATATCGGTATCGGCGAATATGCCACCGATATTTGACTGGTACTGTACTATAATATACACAAAGAATATCGGTATCGTCCTTTTTTTTACTCCCTAATATTGGTATCGGTCCCAAAAAAACCATATCGGTCGGGCTCTAATTATAGCAGAACTTTGTGAGATCGCGATGAATGAAGATGAGCGCGCTTTGCACACTTTCTAGGGTATAATCCATTCAGAATTTGTATGAAACAGAAACTTTTGTTTTTCGGACACATACACCCTGCGAAGTTTCGGGAATGACATCCGCATATTTATGCGGGATTCACTCTCGAAATAGCAATGATTGGCACTGAACATACAATATAGGCTATGTGAAAGCAGCCTCAGTGGTTTAATTCTGGAACCGGTCCTGGCCAAACCTCCACAGACAGCACGCGTCCCGAGCGAGATCTAATTCACGGACCAAAAGTGTGTGTAAACTTTATTGAGACCGGGACATATCAACCAGTAATTTAATGTAATTTCCAGTAACGGACGGTAGAAAGTTCAGCGATGAATGGTATGAGATTTATGACAGAATATAGTCCCACAACTATCGTTTATTTTTTCCTCGCCGTGTCTCGCCTTTGGTAACAACAATTCAAAACGGAAACATTTCAAGTGACACGGGAAAAAGACACGGAAAACTTCAGTGAACATCAGAAAAGCAGCGTGCACATTTCTAATGAAAGGCCATGACAAACGGAAGCATCAAGAGTCAGCTCCACAGTTTACTAAACGGTGGCAACCTCTTTAAGTTATTCTTGACTGTGTTGGATTGACTGCTTTGATGCGTTGCAATAAGGTAGGGTTTTGCATTGATGCTTACATCCGAAAAAATTTTTTTTGCTTTTATTTAGGCTTTTTTTCTTGCCCAAACCCCTGAATATATATATATATATAAACTAACTGAAATCAGAATTAAATTGATGTGTGAAGTCTGTCATTTAGAAACAAATAAAAATGTACAAGTAAAACTGCATGTACAATAATTATACAAAAAAGGATAAAGTAGATATAGTGCAAAAAGTAATGCACATCAAAGCATGTCACTGCTTTGTATTTATTTTATTTATTTTTTGGTCATGAAGGACTTTTAAGCATGTTAGGTTATATGTCATGGTATTACAAAATCCTGTTTGTAGTTTTGAAGCAGATGCCTGATTGTTGGCACATGGACGCATCTCTACAGTCAGCTGCTCACAGAGAGAGTGACTCACTGATTCCAGACAGCTGCAAAACAAAAGACCTGGGACCTTGACAACGCTCACATTCAGCCAAAGAAGGGTGGGTCCACCTTCAACACATTCCCCACATCGACAAGAACCAGGCCTACTTCTCATGTCTCGTTAATAACACGCTTACAGTATATTTCTGATTCACTGTTTGTCGTTCAGTGTAAAGTATACAGTCACCGCATTACATGGAGGATGAGTTTGCTCTATCCAGGATGGGTGCGACATTTATGCAAGCTTTACTAAAGATAATAAACACACACAGCACTCTGGAGCATTTCGTAACAGATTGAATGATGTGTACACATTATATATATAGCCTATGTATAATACACATTATAAATGATTAAGACATTTAAGACCTTTACCTACCCGACAATCAGAATCACGACGACAGCGGCCGCAAAGTAATTAGTCTGAAAATAAAGCAGATTGCTGATCACTCTGTTATTCCATTTGCTTAAATCAGACACATCGGGTTTGGAGAATCGGTCAACACCAGGGAAGAAATCATCCCACGGTCTGAACGGTGCGAGCTCCATCCCTGCCATGATGCTTTCGATCACTGCTGCGCTGCGATGACGCAGACTCACGGGTGGGCGGGGCTCGCGGCCCAAAGGCCAAGTGGTGCGTTCGACTTCATGCAGCACTGCGCAGATCGATCGCAATCTGACTTGACGCAGTGCATGCCGGTTAGTAA